AGGTTTTTGTTTTTGTTTTTTTGGATAGGGGTCTAATTTGCCGGTTCTAAAGAAATGCAGAATATTTTCTTTCATTGATTTATTTTAAGAATTCGGCCACGAATGTCCCGATCATGAAGGGACCCCAACTAAAATCTCTAGAGAGGGTGTAGAGAAAAGGGAGTTTGCATCTCTCTCCAGGGATAGAAAATTTTCTTTGCCTCTCTGGCATACTGAGCTCAAATCCTGTGGGTGTTCCCCCACCAACTCTCCCAAACGTCGGGGAGAAAGAGAGTTTTCTATGTTTCAAACACAGAAAAAGGGGAATGAGGATGAGAAGTAGGGGACGGAAGACCTGTGCTGGATAGAGCTGGGATCCAGGCCCAGGTTAGGGACCCCTAAGTCTTTGCCTGTGTGTGCTGGGGATTTACCAGTGTCCTGGGTTTTTGTTTTGTTTTGTTTTGTTTTGTTTTTCAACTGAGGCTATTACTGAACCAGAGGGGATCCTGCAATCCTCACCACTCCCCAGATGAGAAATGTCAGTTCCAGGTTTGTCAAATTCACATCAGGAGCTTAGGATTCAGCACTGCGCTGACAAATTACATATCCAGAGCCTAAGTCTGCTCTAGTTGTATGCAGAGCCTGGTGGGAGAGGGTTGACTGGCTCCATTCTATTGCCTACAGGAGTCCTGGGGGCCCCAGAGAAGCCACAAATGTCTCCCCATACTATGTAAAGGGGCCCCCAGCTCTACATGTGAGCCCAGGGACATTTTCACCGGGAATTATAGACCTGAAGACCTCCTAAGGGTGGGCCTGAAATTCCTCTGCATCCGGGATTGGGGAAAGGGCAGATGGTGAAAAAAAAAAAATCACTGAATGGTGTTAAAAACTGTAGAAACTAACATTCTTGCAAATATTATGAGATTACTTAGTATAACACAACTGAATATCAGGGTGGGACCCACACTAGACACCCCATTTCTGGCTGTCAGAAGATTGCAGGATGATAGAATTTTAGTACGTTGGTATCATGTGTTACTGACTCTGTATTGGCCATAATATTTTTATAGAATAATTTCTGTTATTAACTACCTAATATGAAACACATGATGACACATTTCTAGACGACAGGCAATTCACATGTAAGTATACAATCATGTATTACAGAGAGACGACCCTTTAATTCTCCATCTCACCCAAATGGAAAACTCCTTTGGAGACAGGGGTCCAGCAGGAATTCCTGGAGCAGGGGGAGCCGGTAGGCCATGCTAAGGGGCCAAGGGGCAGGGGAGCAGATGGCCACCTGGCCCACTGTGGGCAGAGGCACAGATGTAGAGCAATGGGCAATGGGTTTAGCTTAGAGAGGTGAAGAGAAGGATACTCTGGCATCCTTGTGTATGTGGAGGGAGGTGGGGGTGAAGGATTGGAGAGAAGCTCAGAAATATCTTTGAGCAAAATATACATCTTAAAGATTCCCGGGGCGGG